CTACTTAGAACAAGTACGAGTTTAGCGGATCGCAATCCGCTTACTCCAAGAGTAATTATTGCCTTAACCCAAGGCTAATTAATTATTCCGTTTAAAATCCAAAACTGACTTTTATTTATTTTTATTTGTGGCAAAGCCGCCAAATTTTCAATGTATAGATTTTCCTAAATATATTCAGTTAGACCTAAATACATGCATAACTACTGGCTACCCAGCCACATACCGTATTCTTGTTCTGGTGCAGTCACACCATGCCCATCTCATGTGACCCCCCCCTGTTACCAGGGTACGTGTTATACTTCTGATGCTGATGTGAACGGAAGGGATGACGCCGTCAAACATCAAGTTGAAATACAAGACTTCAACGAGACAGAAGCTACGACATGGGTTGCAAGTGCCATCATATGATATGCGCTCTGGTCGTGCTTCCGCTCGGGCAGGAGCTTACGTTAAGCGCATGATCGTTGATGCCGTGCCAGGAGGTGCACCGCAGTGAGAACAACACTCTGAATACGGATAATAGATCACGACGGTGGCAAGTACATCGAGTAACAGGCTTTGTTTCTTGCGAGCTGTAGTGCAAAGTTGACGACCCTTATTCTCTGGTGAACACCTTCCTAACTTCGCCAAATGTTATAACTTTTTTGAGATGATTTTTTCAATCGATGCTCCCACCTGATGATAATCTGAAAGCTGTTGAACTAGACGGCAATGATATGAAACTTTCACCCCAGTTTTTAGCTTTACTTTTTTGTCCGACCTTCAGCCGTATGAGGAGGATGCTCGTATACTGAAAAGTGAACGTACTCTCGCTCTTCAAGTGAAACAAGTTCTGGCGAAAGAATTACAGCATGTCATTGACGACTTTATTGAGCAAGATGATCCCGAAATGACTTTCAAGAAGACATATTGGTTGCTTTCCAAGCGGAATATTTTGCATCTTTCAGCATTAATCATACCATCGAGACAAAGTGTTTTGTGCGCTCGCGGTCAGTCATTGCGGAGCCAGTCACAGCTTGATCTGAGCAAAGAGCTACGGCAGCCCCGCTGATTCTTCGTCATTGCCACTAGAACTTAATGCTTAAAAAAGCGATCTCGCACCATAGGGCTCTGTGGGACCTGGTGGTGCTTCACCAACGTCTGGCTTAGACTTTCCTGAAGATGTCTAAGCAGCAAACTCATACAGCTAGCGAAGGCCCTCAGGCGAGCGACAATCTCTCTTGGACCTTGGGCCGCCAACAGAGATCCTCTCAGAACCAATTTGAGACACGGGTTTTATACCTGTCCTGTACATTCAGGGTAACATAGATGAACATATCGTGTTTCGTCCTCAAAGACGGTACTATCTTATGACGACCTAGTGGTCTGATTGGCGACCAGTGCTACCAAGTGCAACGGGGTGACCGCGCAATCGTAAACTTCGTGTAAAGTGACGTACAAAGGATGGGCAACCGACCGTGTGTAGGGCGCCGAGCCGAGAGCTCGTAAGTATACTGTACTTCATGCTTGCTCATATAAAGAGTGTATTTAAGAATCAAGGCCAGCTCAAAATGATTTTTATTATAAATGTCTTACTCTCTACATAAAAAACCTCTCCAACACATCGCGCGACGACAGCAGCCTGAATATCCCACAAACTTATTTGAGTACCACCACTTGCCCGTACCGAGTACGCACCATGATATTTCATAAATGGTGTTTCAAAATGGTACTTTTGAGCTTTGTTCTAAGTCCGAGGGACAACAGGGTAACGTGCACCATAACAGGGTATTCACCCCACCACAGTTGTAACAGCTGTAACAGGAATTGCCCAATTGTGAACACACACTTACCAAAGATAACTTAAATTAGTTGACACGCTTCAACGCCTGTTGCTCGCTTCCTGCGATCCGTTGATTTACCTGAAAGGGGAGGAAACATTTATTATGGCCAATAAGCCTCAAACGTTCTTAAACCGACAAGTGTGATAAACAGAATTAAAAGGATATACGAAAGTTAATTATATGTGGTTTACACAACATGTGTAACAATAGCTGTAGCAAAAATTTATATGTGATGAAACCACAATTTTGCGGCATCAGATTTTCTTTGACATTTGTTTCCACCAAAAAATACGTTCAGCAAATGTTTAGCGAAGTACGAAACAATCCAACGAGGTCACGAGCATTCATGTCACAATTGTAGCGTTCAGATACGGTACAATGCGCTGACACTATTTTTCAAGAGCGGTAATTATTCACATATAAGTACGACGTTTGCTGTCTCAATAACAGAAAAGTGGTCTAGGATAAGCTTTTTTAGAGAAATACGACCTTTTCAGAGACAATATGAAGACGAAGTGGGTCGATTTTAACCCTACTCCTTCAAATAAGATTCTTTCTACAACAACAAGACTGGCGGCTCGCGACTGCCACGGTGATGTACATCCCCGACTCTTCTTCGCGTGCTCGCTAATTTGCTTCGACTAGTTGCGCCGACATCCGCACCTTATTTGTAGTACCGATAATTTGCAGAGACTACGTCGCCCAGCCTAGTGTGTGTGGTGTGAACGCGTGTTGCTTGGATGGAAATTCTGTTGCCAGTGCGGTTGTCTACCTTATCATAATTCAAAACACGTAAGGTTAATTTACCATCGTCATAAAATTGAAAAATACAAATAACAAGTATGTTACTGGCGTGAGGTGCCCCTACCAACGCGATCCTTTTATCTCTTGCTTCACTTCCGAATTTGGAATCTCAAGCTCAAAGACGAAGATTTTCAGTTGGAAACTCCCAATACCGGCGCTGCGTGGTCGTACTCACCCCAGCAACTGTTCAAACATGGTGCAATTTGACGCTTTCCGTACTAAAATGCAGGCCGCTGGCCTTTCCACCGAGGCCATCAAAGCCTTTGAGTACTCGTATGAGGCCCTTGTGAGCGGCGAAACCGGAATGATACCTGAGGATGTGATCAAGCCCGTTGACAATCTGCCTTACCTTGAGAACAAAGCTGACTGCATTCGTAACTCAATCAAGGCCGATCCGGCTTTGCTGAAGGAGACTGTAGTGCTTAAGCTGAACGGCGGCTTGGGTACCAGCATGGGCTTGGACAAAGCTAAATCTTTGTTAATTGTGAAGGGTGATGACACATTTTTGGACATTATGGCGAAGCAGGTGACGGAATTGCGCGCTACGCACAAGTCTCACGTGCGGTTTGTGTTAATGAACAGTTTTAGCACTAGCGCGGACACCCTCGAGTACTTGCAGAAGTACCCAGAACTCGTCGAAGACGAGACTCTTGAGCTTCTACAGAACAAGGTGCCCAAAGTGAATGCAGCTACTATGGAACCCGCTGTATACCCACTAAATCCCTCCAAAGAGTGGTGCCCACCTGGACACGGTGATTTGTACGCAGCGCTGGCTGGATCGGGCAAGCTTGAGAAGCTGCTCGCTGATGGCGTTAAGTACATGTTCGTGTCAAACTCTGATAATTTAGGCGCGACGCTTGACTTGGACCTCTTATCGTACTTTGCACAATCTGACAAACCGTTCCTTATGGAGTGTTGTGAGCGCACGGAGAACGACAAGAAGGGTGGACACCTTGCTGAGCGTACTGTTGATGGCCGACTTATTCTTCGTGAATCTGCTCAGTGCGCTGAAGATGATGAAAAAGAGTTTCAGAACATTGAAAAGCACCGTTATTTTAACACAAATAATCTTTGGATTCGTCTGGATAAGCTTCAAGAAGAATTGATGAAGCAAGGAGGCGTTATCCGTCTGCCCATGATCAAAAACTCAAAGACTGTGGACCCCAAGGATTCGAGTTCAACCCCTGTCTTTCAATTAGAGACTGCAATGGGAGCTGCCATCGAGTGCTTTGATGGTGCTGGTGCCGTATGCGTTCCGCGCACCCGATTTGCTCCCGTGAAAAAGTGCGATGACTTGATATTGCTGCGATCGGATGCATATGTAATCACTGAGGACTACCGTCCTATAATTGCCCCCGAACGCGAGGGTGTGGCTCCTATTGTGTCTCTGGACTCTAAAAATTTTAAGTTAGTGCAGCAACTCGAGGCTGCGGTGCGCGGCAACGTGCCATCGCTGATCAAGTGCGACCGTTTGAAGGTTACTGGAGATGTTGGTTTCGCTCCTGGTGTTGTTTTTGAGGGCACTGTCGAAGTCATAAACAAAAGCCTTGAACAGAAAACTGTGCTTTCTGGCACCTACAAAGACACGACTGTGGACCTTTCAGAGCAGAAGGGCCTGGGCAAGCTGAAAGTGTCGATCGTGAAGACGACCCCTTTCAATGACCAAAAGCCAGGTACCTCAGGTCTACGTAAGAAGACTAAGACGTTTATGAGCGATAACTACCTGCAAAATTTTGTGGCTTCGGTATTCGACGCTCTTCCGGCCAAGGATCTCAATGGCGGCACTTTAGTTGTATCGGGGGATGGCCGCTATTTTAACAAAGAGGCCATTCAAATCATTTCTAAAATGGCTGTGGCTTACGGTGTCGACCGCCTTTGGATTGGCAAGGATGGTCTGCTGAGCACCCCTTGCGTTTCTGCTGTTGTGCGTGAGCGTGAGGGTGGAAGTGTTGCTTTTGGTGCATTCATTTTGTCGGCAAGTCACAACCCTGGCGGTCTGGATGAGGACTTTGGCATTAAGTACAACTGTGAAAACGGCGGCCCCGCACCCGAGAAGGTGACGAATGAGGTCTTCGCTTTGTCAAAAGTGATTACGTCTTACAAGATTGCTGCTGACTTTCCGACGATTGATCTAGGTACAGTTGGAACGACCATCGTCGATGCTGACGATGGCAGCCGATCAATTACGGTTGAGGTATTTGATTCGGCTGAACACCATGTGAGCTTGCTGAAGCAAATCTTTGACTTCCATGCTATCAAAAAGCTCGTTTCTCGCCCAGACTTTACGTTCGTCGTAGACTCTATGTCGGGTGTAAACGGCCCGTACGCTCGACGCGTGTTCGTGGAGGATTTGGGATGCAACGAGTCATGTTTACTCAATTCCACTCCCTTGGAGGACTTTGGAGGTTGCCACGCCGACCCTAACCTGACATATGCGAAGACACTGATCAAAATTATGGGTGTTGACGCTAAGGGCCTGCCGGTAGCTGACCCAGAACTGTTGCCTCCATCGTTTGGTGCCGCTTGGGATGGTGATGCCGACCGTAACATGATTTTAGGCTCGCGTTTTTTTGTTACGCCTTCAGACTCGCTTGCCATTATCGCTGCTAATTGCAAGGTGATACCGTTTTTTAAGAATGGTCTGCGTGGTGTAGCCCGTTCAATGCCTACTAGCGGTGCGGTGGATCTTGTAGCACAGAAGTTGAATGTGCCTTTTTTCGAAGTACCCACTGGATGGAAATTTTTTGGAAACCTTATGGACTCGAACGTCGTGTTTGGTAAGGAAGACTACACCCCATTTATTTGTGGCGAGGAGAGTTTCGGTACTGGCTCGAATCACATTCGCGAGAAGGATGGTATGTGGGCTGTCCTCAGCTGGCTATCGATTTTGGCTTCGAAGCAGGTGGAGGGTGCTCCATTGGTGACAGTAGAGGACATTGTTCGCGACCACTGGAAGAAATATGGCCGCAATTACTACTGCCGTTACGACTATGAAAATGTGGATAAGGCCGCTGCCGACGGCATGTTTGCTGAAATGACAAAGTTCGACGGCGTCGTTGGCAAAGAGATCAATGGCTTTAAGGTTGAAAAGGCTGATGAGTTTGAGTATGTTGATCCCGTGGATGGCAGTGTCTCTTCGCACCAGGGCATTCGTTTCTTGTTTGAGGGTGGCTCGCGTGTAGTTTTCCGGCTGTCAGGCACGGGTGTTGCTGGCGCAACCATTCGAATGTACGTCGAAAAGTATGAGGAGCCCACGGGTAATCTGGAGCAGAACGCCGCTGTGGCGCTGGAAAAGTTGATTGAGGTGGGCTTAAAGTTGTCGGATCTGGAAAAGAAAACTGGCCGCAAAGTTCCTACGGTAATCACTTAAAATGGTAGGATTACTTTCTTTGTAGTAAGGCATTTTCGTCTTGGACAATAAATAGCAAATCTCAAAAAGTTTCGATACTCATACAACTTTTATTGTTCGAAAATATCTAGATTTCGACATTTTCCTTGTTCAAAATTGATAGTATCATAATCACAGAAAGCGCTTAAGCTCCAGTCTTCTCAAAAAATTATTACAATTATTTTCTTCATGAATCCAGCATTTTATTGCTTGCCATGTGCACAATGTAACGTTGGTAGTATCTTTCAAAGAACCTGACGGTGATCGGTCCCTGCTTTCAGTAATCTGTTTGGGAGCACACACTACTTGTGCAGCGGAGCCGCCGTAGCTCTTTGCTTAGAAAAAGCTTACCAAGGTCTCCGACCTTACGTTGTCTACTAGCACCAGTATGAGTGTAGCGGAGCGCAATCCGATAATAGTACCCAAAACCTCAACCCAATGCAAATACACTCTTCCGTTCAAAATTGGAACTGTATTTATCTGTTTTATTTGCGGCAAAGCCACCTATATCTAAAACTATAAGTTTTTATAATTGAATAGTTAAACCTAGTAAACTATTCAATTATAAAAACTTATAGTTTTGCATAACTACTGGCAGTCCCGCCATGTAGTGGCTTCTTGTTACGGTGTAGCCACACCATCGTGTGATTACACCGTCTTGTGTGATCCACAGCTTCGATCTTGTGTGAACCATACTTTCAAACCAGGGTACGTGTGACCTCGTTACACCCCTATCAAAACTGTGAATACCCACAATTCAAATTTAACTGTCGCCTCGTACGAGGCTCGCGTGTCTAAGACACCTATACGTCCCCAGGACCTTCTTCACGCACTCTCTGCTCAATAAGCCTTGTGTCTATGACACGCATGACACTCAACATCGCTGGCTCCGAGAGCGCCCGTTGGCAGAGCCCTTCTTCGCCTCCTGCACGCGGTGCGAGTCCTGACAGTACGTCCGCGGCTTCAGGGAAAACACCTCCTAAGCCCTCGGCAACCGATCGCCGCACACCGCGCCCGCCACGGGCGACGGATTTCCTCGTCGAGAATTCGGAGGAAGTTGACTACAAGTCGGATACTCCATTCACAAGATGGAAAAAAGAGGATGATGGGGTGCGTCAATGGTGCGACGTGAGCCCTACTCGAACCATGCGGACACCGTGTCCGTTTCCCGACTTCTTGTCTTCCGAGAGAAGTGGTATCATTACCAATCGCCTCAACGAGGCACAGGAGCAGCAGTTGAAGGCTGCCCACAGGGCGGCTCTCATCCACTCGTATCTACGTTCGGTCCTAGACCTTCATGTGGAATACGGCTTTTGCTCGGCGGATCCCGCTACTGAAGCGAAAAACGCGATCATTCGATCGTTAGGCGCCTACGTAGTCGGGACCCACACTACACAAGCCGAGCATGAATAACGAAAAGCTGTCCGAGCTCCTTTTTGGGACCACAAAAAATCTCCAGGGATCGGTACCGCGCTCGACTTCGAGCTCAAAACGGAGCCGATCCTGTACCCGCAATTCAGACTTTTTGTGGTGCTCGCCCCTGGTAAAACCGCCGCAGATGATGATGAGCTCTTTTAACGATCGATACAGCGACAACTTTCCTCGCTGTCTAACTTACGGCGGAGCCATAACGAAGCGGACGTGCGCGTGGAGCGCCATCTTCGGTTCGAGATTGCCAAGCTCAAGGCGCGACGCCGACTTCCTACGTATTGACATATGGATCAACCCATCACGCACCCGCGAGCTCTATGGCTTCTCACACGGGTGAGTCTTCGACCACAGCAGCTCAGGGCCATAGCTTGAGCTCGCTCATGGCCCTTCGGCCTCCCGGGATACTGCCGAGAAGTGCGGGGCGTACGACGACGTGGAACGTCATGATCCCTCTGATCATAAACGTCCACGACGTCTGGACAGTCTTGCCGAATTGGCACCTAAAACACCCACGATTTCTCGAGTTTGAGTATCACCACCACTTCATAAGATACTGGGTTTGACCCTTTCGACGACGTCGATCCACACGGCTTTCCACGTGATAATGGACGTCACCGCTCTCGTGAAGAAGCGTCAGCAGCGGACGATGACGACTTGATCGATCGCCGTCCGATGACTTGCGATGGCCTTCGAGCGCTTGAGGACAAAGTCCATTGTCTTCACATCGTACCAAGGTTGCATACCGCTGTGCGGAAGATCTCGAGAACTTCGATCGCTAAGTGTACCGATTGCCTCAAATTGAGGATTATCGCGCTCCGTCGGATCGGCTCCTAGCCGTCGAGCAGACGAATACGTCACTTCACGCGACGGTGGAGCGCCTTGCGCCGTTGGAAACAGAAATTTTTGCACTCTGTGCCCAGAACCAGATGCTGGTTCAGCATCTGGGTGCCCGAGCGCCTTTGGGTGCCGCACCGGCGCCAACGTGTCCACTTTCACTTACCCCGGATCCCGGGGCGGCTTAAGCAAGCCCATGTGAAACGCCGGCTTGGTATGCATCTTACTCGGAAGGCTTATACACAAGGCCTTGCTTGGCCGCGACCTTTAAAGGTATAAACCGTGAATGGAGCTTCGGAGTAAAGTCAGAAGACACTTCATGTGTCGGAAGGTTTTAGCATCTAAGAAAACCATACCTCCGACCTCAACAATTTCAACATTTCTCCTGCTTCTTCCGTCTGCATATTCTTTTTTACATGACGTGGCTTTCAGCCACCTCATCGCAAACGCGTCGTAAGATACTCAACCTGGCAGACAGGAAGTCATCGACTTCTTTACGCACAGTGAGGGGGCTGATATCCGCTAGCCGCTCGGCTATTCCTTCCCCACCAAGCCCTGCGCCATGGGATGGCGATGTCAGCGGGACGCGAGGATTAACAAGTCCGTTCACGTAGAGCGGCGTGTAGCCGATAGACGCATGCACTGCATTGTTCAGAGCGAGCTCCACGAGTGGGCAGCATGGCGCTCCAGCGCTTCGGCCTCTCAGCGTATAGGCTGCAAAGCACGTCTTCAACGACGCGATTAATGCGCTCAGTTTAACCATCGGTCCGCTGATGGTCCGCTGTTGACATATTGAGCTTAATGCTGAAAATTGTTGGGCAAAGGTTCCCGGCGAATCGTTGGTCTCTTTCAGATACAATTGACTCCGGGAGTCCAGGTTGTCGAAAGACACGATCCACGAACAGCATCGCTGTACCCACACCGTCGATGGTGTCCGGCACTTCCTGAAGATGAGCCATCTTGCTCAAACGGTCGACAAAGACCACCAGACCCGTATTGCCTGCCGAGTCCTTCTGCAATCCAAACAAAATGTCCATACTCATAGACTGCCAACATCCGGAGGATACGATAAACAGGCCAGCGACGCCGCCGATTTATAAGAGGATTTCACTCTTTGACGCGTCTCACGTGCGCATGTGCTCGTCCAATTGTACAGGTTGGGCTACCAGTAGTGGCAACCCACAGAGCTGTAGATCTTCTCACGACCGAGGTGACCACTGAGTGGGGTGTCGTGGGCTTCATAGAGGATACGGTATTTTAAGTCATCATCATGACAAACCACAACTCGTGGAAAATCCGGCGAGTCGGTGCTATAATACAGCAACCCGTTAATCAATGAATATCGATGCAAATGTAAGCGCAGTCGCGACAACTTCTCGTCTGAGTTTCCAAGCTCCTTGCCCCCGAGAGCCTGTAGCAGCACTACTCACATACTATCACCCGCGTATGCTGCGCGGATCAAATCCGTCACTGACGACGTCACCGTCGTAACATAAGCAAGCTCACAATTTGGTCTGCGTGACAATGCATCAGCCGAAGCATTCTGCTTTTCTGGCTTATACTTCACCTCAAAGTTTTATCCTACAAAGAATGAGAGCCACCTGGCCATCCTCTGTGAGAGGTGAGGCGATTGAATCGCAGTGCGCAGTGACGCATGATCTGTGTAGATCGCAGATGCTTTTGAGCCAAGCAGGTGCACTCAGTTCTCCCCCGATAGGGCGCCCCGCGCCTACTGGGTGGTCTCGTTTTCCCGCGACAAACAATACTGGTTAGTAGCGGGACGTCGGTCTGACGAACTTTGACGCGCCTTTGGCAGGGCAAAAGCAGTCCGAAGGTGATGGGTGTCTGTACAAACAAAACACCGTTGGGTGTTTACACGCTGCTCAGCAGCTCGAAGCTCTCCCTCGTCTTTCTCAGCAGTGCTGAGATCCATTGGCTCAGGCCCGCTTGACGAGCTCTGAGGATGCGCATTCCAACCAAATTCGTGCCAACTTGAAGTTGGATTTGGCATTCAATGCCACGTTCACCGTTTCTTCAAAAGAAGACAGATGCACACGTAAATCTTCCATTCTGGTCTCGCCAGTGCGGAGGCTATCCATAAAGGCGGTCGCTGCGACCGCCTTGGGTAGAGGATCTGCTGCCATCCTGGCAATTAGAGCTCTCAACCTTTGGACAAAGTCCACTAAATTTTTCTTGCCCTGCCGGGCGGCAAGGAAACTCGATCTCACGCGGTATGCCTGATTAGGCGGCAAAAACACTCACAGAAGCTGACGCTTCAACTCCTATCAGCAGAGGAACACTGCTTCAAACGAAGCACCGCGCGTTACTGCTCATTCTCGCGCTCGGCCCCCGAGCTTGGAGATGGCTAGCACCACGCGCTGTTGCTCGGTTTGAAGCATGTGCTATATCTTACCTTGTGAAGGTCTAGGCCTAAAAACTTTTCTTCGCAGCTTATAATTTTTGGACACTCGACATCAGTTTCCGAGGTTTGGGAATCACCAAATCTTTACCAGAAAAGACGTGCATGCTGCCGAAGTTTAAGTCGATCAATGGCTCCTGGCATCGAAGCCACGATACCCTAGGATAAGACTGTAATCTCGAATCCGATCCAGAAGGAGATAGTGTTTCACGCTGTCAAGCCTTAGAGTCTTACAAAAAAGTGCTCAGAGGAGTCTTGACGCATTTTCACCGCAAGATGCGAAGATACTGTACCTGTA